ACACTCTGCAGGATGACGCCCACCGCACGGTCCATGCCGCGCTTCATGTCGATGGGGTTCGTCCCGGTCGCAATGCACTTGAGGCCCTCGCTGAAGACGCTTGCCACAAGCACCGCCGAGGTCGTCGTGCCGTCGCCAGCAAGGTCGTTGGTCTTGTTGCACACCTGACGCACCAGCTGCGCGCCCATGTTCTCGAACGGGTCCTTGAACTCAATCGCCTTGGCAACCGTGACACCGTCCTTCGTGATCTTCGGCGCACCGTACGTCTGCTCAATGATCACGTTGCGGCCCTTTGGACCAAGCGTCGTCGCAACGGCCTTCACCGCACGCTCCACGCCCTTCTGCATGGACTGGCGAGCCTCCGTGCCAAACCGGATCTCCTTGCCGGCGAAACGAACAACAGAGCGAAACATATCGCGTGTTGCACTTGTACGTTGGATTAGCAAAACAAAAACAAAACTCTGCAACAACAAAAACACAATGAAGCAAGAAATTCATAAAAGGTGGGTAAGGTAAGGGAAGAGGTCTATACCGTTATTTAAGTGCTAATTGCATGATGTGGTTGCCACTTTTTATGGCCATTGGACTCGTCTATTTAAAAAGAACTATCTTGGGAGGGACAGTCAGCACCGTAACAGCTCAAATGAAGCAAATATCACACTCACCGCGTGTTTCTATCCGAACTGCATCTTTTTTTTGTTGTTGTTTCCCATCAGTCATTTCTTTTGTTCACCGCGGAGTGCCTTAGCGGCCAGTTAATTGAGTGGCCTACTGCAATAAGAAAGACTACGGGGGTGGGGGGAATTGCAAAATGTGATCGAGACCCACCCTCCTGCCCCTCCCCCTGGCGAGTGAGGGCCGCATTATGTTGGCGACGATGGTCCACCGACACTCCGTCATGTCAGACAGTGCTTCTCTCCTTTTTAATGCAATAATCGAGAGGGGAGAGAGGGAGAGAGAGTTGTATACCAATCACTCATTTCTCTTCCTCTCCTTCTGCCCCTGTCTGTTTATCGCTGTGTGCATGAGTTGTTTCCAAACTTACATCGTTTCTTGTGCTTATGACTTCCCCCCTCCCCTGATATTTAAACGTGTTTGGGTGCCCTACGACTTCTCCTCCTCCTTCTTGAGCACCGGCGCTGCGTTGGTGGCTTCAAGGAACTGTCGTATGGTGCGGATGTCTTTTTGCCGGTCGTTCCACGAGGCAAGCTCGTGCGACTTCAGGGCCGCTGTGCCCACTAGGGAAGAGGAAATGCCAGCCAAAAGAGCCACCTCAACCCCGTAGCTGCGTGTGCATATGCCCGAAACTAGACGATAAAGAAATGTGATTGCCGAAACACCGTCTTTTCTGCCGTCCGATAGGGAAAAGTCCATGTAACCCAGCTGTACTGTTGACCCCTGGTGCCGCGGCGAAGACGAGGCGTTCGCTTGATTCCCACCAACCTGTTCCTGCGCAAGGGCATGGTAGTGGGTGGAAAACAGGAGAAGCGGAGAAACAGGAAGGCGTCGCTTCAACGAGGACAAAGTCGCGTGTGCAATGGCGTAACCGTCGTGCGTGGAAGTTCCACGCCCCAGTTCATCTACCAGGCACAAACTCCATGGGTCTGCATGACGAAGGATGTCAGCTGTTTCGCTCAGTTCAACGTAGAGAGTACTCTGTCCCTTGTGGGAGGCATCACGTGCCCCAATACGTGTAAAGATGCGGGACACCGTGGCAAGACGCATGAGCGTACCAAAAATTGGCCCCCCCATTTGTGCAATGATGACGTTGACCGCGACGGTGCGCATAAGCGTACTTTTCCCCGCCATGTTCGGGCCCGTCAAGAGTAAAATACGCCCCTGTGCCGCACTGAGGTGAACGCTGTTCGGCACCGAGTCTCTACTGAGGAAGGGATGGGTTAGCTGCTCGGCATCCACACGTGCCCCCGCACTGTCATCCTCCACGATGGGCCACGCGGATGTAATCCCACAGTTCTGCAAGGACGCGAGACTCAAGAGGCAATCAAAATATGCGAGAGCCTCGGTGGCGCCGTATAAGAGCGGGAAATGGTTACACATGTGCGATGCCACATTTCGTAGCACCAAAAGAAGTGCGTTTGATTTATCCGCCTTTGCCTTCTTATGCTCCTCTACCAGGGGCCCAAGGGAGGCCACAGCGTACTTGACACTCTTGCCACTCCGTGACCGCTCAAGAAACCCACTCAAAGGTGTTTTCGGTGCGGCACGAAGTGGCACCTCTACAAGAAAGCGATCGTTACCAATAGCGCAGTAGTTGATCCCCGCACCCGCAAAGACGCCTTCCTTTAACCGGCGTAGCTCCTCCTGTAGTTTTGCCTCAATGGCGTCAAGGCTATCCGACGCCGCATCGTAGGCTGGGGATTTTCCTCGAGAAGGAGCAATCACGCCAGACGCAAGAGCCGCTTGGCGGTCAAAACAGCTCCCGATGGAGTTCACCGCGGGGACTGCCGCATCTATCTGCGCCCAAAGCTCCTTCAGGAGCGCCGGTGGCTCCGATCGCCCCTTTTGAATCCCACGCGACCACTCCACCATGTCCTCAAACGCCTGCACGGTGGCAAGAATGAGTTGAAACTGCTTCTTGTACTGAACCAGGGGATCCACAAAGGCCACTTGGGAGTCGTGGTTGCTCTTCAATTCTGCCAGGCGAGAGAGATTGCGTTCAAAGTCCACCTCCACAAGACCAGCAAATCGCCTCTCAAACGCACCACCCACGAGCCGTTCTCGCTTCACGCCACAGCGGGGCTCCCTCTCACACGCGCCCCCCGCCGCCACTGTGGGGAGCGCCGCTGCTGCCCTCGGTGGCGTCGGCTCTGGCTCCCCGCCCTCGCCCTCGCCCTCGCCCCAGAACTGGTCCAGCTTGTGCGCAACAATGTAGCGCACGGCCTCCTGTCGAGCCACAATGACACGGGAGGAGGCAGAGGGCCGCAAAATCCATGCCCGCATGAGGCGCTTTCCTCCGTTTGTGCAACAGCGATTGAGGAGTTGGTTCAGGGACCCACGTTCCCCGCCATCCCGCAGACTACTGACCAGCTCCAAGTTACTTACCGTTGTGGCATCAAGCACGAGCCCGCGATCTTCTCGTCGTTCATGCCACAATATCGATGAGGAAGCGGGAGATCCGGCTGCAGGACCGCGAACGATGTTGGCGTCAGGCGACGCATACGGAAGATGAAGGGTGTAAGGCTTGGCCTCTGAGAGGATGGGCTCGGCGTGAAAAAGCCTCAACGTCCGAAAGTAGTACGCCAAGAACATATGTGCGTCTAAATAAACGTCTTCTCCGTCAGACTTCTCGTGTGAAGACGCAGGGAGGGCCACTTCCACCAACTCCACCCGAAACCCCTCGTCCTCTATCCAATCCACCAAGCGCCTGGCAAACACTGTCCCTCTATCGGGTTGATTGGCGTTTGTGAAGAAGTGACGTGGAAATATGATTTCACGTGGGCGGAGCTGTTGCAAAAGGGCGCACAGCATGAGCAGCACCTCCTCCTCGCGCAGCGCGCCATTCCACCCAGCGGCGCAGGGGCAGTGATACACCGCATGACGTGAGAGATCCACCGCCAAGCCATCCACGCCACCCTTCGGCAAAGGACAGAGGGCCAGTATAAAAACAGAGCCAGCACCGCTCACCATCGCAGGATCTGTCAAGGTGCCAGGTGTGAGAACTTCCACCAACTCGCGTTGGAGCACCTTCGCGCGTGCAGTCTTGGCTGTGGGCGTCTCTGCCTCCTCTTTCATTTGCTCCACCCGACCCACCTTGTAACCGCGGAAAACAAAGAGGCGCGCCCACTCACTGAAACTTTGCTCTGGAACCCCCGCAAGGCGCATCTTGCGACGGTTGTTGGATTCCGGCGCCAGCCTCAGCCCAAACTCCCGGTGGGCGATGGTGGCATCGTGACCGTACAGCTCGTAAAACTTTCCACTTTTGAAGAAAATGAGCGCATCAAAGTACTTGGCTTTGATCTCCCAGTACTGTCGCTCCACGGTCGCCATGGCGTCAAGGTCTTCGGCAGGAATCACAATTGACGAGGGTGGTCGCATAAGATCTATTCCAGCCAAGAAAGAATAGGTGTGGTCCATGCGACCGGCCCCCGCACAGTCCACCCGAGCGTCTTCCATCCCTGGAGGAGCACCACAACTCAAAAGTCCAGTAGAAGCAACAAGAGGCAGAAGCGGCGGAGAACTCCCCCTCGCGGTTTGACGTTGCCTGCTCTTCCCTTGCGATATGAGGTGTTGTAAGCCGTGGATACCGGCGTCTAGGTAAGGAGGTATGTACTTCTTGCCCCAATGCGTGTGTGTGGGCGGGTGGGTGGGTGACGAAGGGGGGAGGTAAGAAGAAAGGAAACTGCACCCAACAGTCAACACACCCTCCTTCAATCTTCTACTCCTTTTCCTTCACGTGGCGCCCCTAGAAAGAATGCAACGCATCCCGCAACCTCAACAACTCACGGCACGCACACTCAGCACGGTGGCAGGCACGAAGAGAGGCAGGTGAGCACTCCTAAACCCCAAACGAGGCCCCCACACCTCCAGCCCCTCCCCGCTGCGGTAAGGCAATCGTCGACGCCCTTTGCCCGCTCACGCTGCAAACATTTTCGACACAGAGAGGCGGAGGAAGAGAGGAAAACGCGGCCAACAAAAAAAAGCTTAATAATGGCTAACACCGCACGCAAAAGAAAAAAAACAGGAATAATAATACGCAAAGAAAGTCTATATATATGTACACAAAATAAACAAAATAACAATAAGAATGGTTCCATCCGCAACGCTGAATGACAGCGACGCCACCTCCCTCCCCCACCCCCACTCACCACATTACTTCCTTGTGCTGCGCCCCGGTGTGCTGTCGTCGCCCGCAGGGAATTGGGCGCACTTGCCGTCCTCCCTCCCATCAACACCGTCGTCTCACCCTTGCAATGCCATTCTCGCGAACGACGCAGAACTCGGGGCCGTTGTAGTGACCCCCGCTGTAGACGGTCCAGCCACTCGGAAACCACTCCTCGAACTGTTTGATGCTCGGGCACGTCACAGGCTCATCGTAAAAAACGCAATCCTCCAGCGGAAGCAGCAGATGCGGAAAACGCGTGTAGACAGGATCGTAGAAGATCTCAACGTGTGGTCCAGTTCGCGGCTCCCCATTTTGAGACGCATAAATCCAAAACATGGGCTTCCCATTCCGATCCCTCCGAAAATAATGTTCGCCGTTGCTGCGGAAGAGCTCCTCCACCTTGCCCCTGTCGCCTGGATAGACGGCAATGTCGACATCCGTGTCCCACGGGATAATGGCTCCTGCATGCCTCCGCGCTCCAAGGGCGGTACCAGTCGAAAGGAAGTAAGTGATGTTCGCCAACGTTAGCTTCCGCACCACCCACACGGCTGTCTCGCGCAGAGCCTTGTGCTCCACGCAACATTTTCTATACGGCCGCCGATTGGGATCCTCCACGCCACTCCGCCGAAGCAGATACTTGTGCAAAGCGCATTCTGGAGTGAAGGCATCACAGTCTGCGATGTCAATCTTGTCATACCGATTGAATTGAGAGCTGATCCACTTCTTGTTGATGCGGCGAGAGCCATTCTGCAAACTACGGAGAAATTTTCGCGGCATGATAAGCGGGTCAAACGAAAAGTACGGCGATGGTGGAATCTCGCTCAGCTGCACTAGCGTCCCATCCTCGTCTGCGGCCCCGGCACCCGCCAAGAGCGTCTTCGCACCCCGTCCGAGGGGGACGCCCTCCCCGTTCACAGCGTCCCCCTTTGGCCGAGTGTCTGGCGCCGTTGGTGCAAGACCTCCTTTTGCTGCTGCTGCGGCCGCCGCCGCTGCGGATGCCGGCGATAACGGGCGCTCCGGGGCCCTAAAGCTCAGTAGCGGCACCAGCGTCACCAGAAAACAGACGGCGAAGACGCTCCAAAGGACCCTAATGAACCGTGACGCCCTCGCCATTCCTTTCCCTCGCAGCCTGCACGGGGGCTAATATGGCCCACAACCGCAGTATCACTAACACACGCAAGAAGCAAACAATAAAAAAAACGAGAAAAAAAAGAAACTCAAGGGCACGGGGCATTGTATACACATACACAACAGTGACCTGCTGCCCTTTCCGGCACGCACAGGAAACAACAAACAGAAGAAAGAAGCGGGACGGGAAAAAGGAAAAGCGGTGCGGAAGTAAATGAGACATCACAAGGAACACACCGATCAAATGAAAAATATATATGTATAAATATAACAAAAGTGTGTGGAAACAGCCCATGGCATGATAACACAAAGCCCGGGATCCGCCCACGGAGTGGTAGTCGTTAGGGGCCCGCAACCGCCGCCCCCTCCGCGCGGGGAGTAGCGGGGGCAGAAGGAACTGCACACGTTGCCCTTCAGCGCGGTCTCCCTCAGAAGGGAGATCAAGTCACAGACCAAGAGTGCAGATCAACAACGAAGCGCTATTCCCTGCTGAGCCCCATCCAGCGGCGCACTCCCTGCGTAATGTAAAAACAAAACAAAAAACAAGGGAACAAAAAATAATGCCCTCCAATACATAAGCTAAGAGTAACATTGGTCGCACTCTCGGCCAAATTTTCTTTCCATGTCCCTTGTGCCCTATTCCTTTTTTAAAGCTCTACAAATGGGATGCATACATGCTTCCAGACCAAACGTCGCCGGCCACATCAACGGCAGCGCTCCTCTACTGCATAGCAGTAGCGTGCGGTTGGCAACAGCAGCCACCAGGATTCGCACCATGCAGCGTGAGCTCGCGGTGCGTCTGGCACACTGAGCATCCCGTGCAGCAGCAACCGGCCAGGCAGGCACAGCACGCACCCTCCCCCAGACTGTACTTCGACGTGACCTTCTGACGAAGGATGCATGCCGAAAGA